TGGCATGTGTTAATGTGAGTGAAACGCATATATCTTCATTTCTCTGCAATGTCTGTTCATTAGGATACAGCTATACACGCTGCCAGGTCATGCTTCATGCATGAATAATATTTATTTTGACAGTTCACGCTAGGGTGCATTTTTAGGTTCTGTCGTGTCTTAATACCTGTATCTCCTGATAATGTGATATATATGCAAAGACGAAGAGAAATTGCATTTAGCCCATTATCAAGAGGCTTATTCGTTTCTGAAAGCACAGATCTGTCTTGCAAATTTGATTCTGTGCCATTTAACTTTATATTGGCTCTGGGCTTGACCTTGATATTTGAGGGATTTTTTGCATAAAAATGAAATAATCTTTGTTTTATGCATGTTTCAAAAAAGATGATACAGATCTAGCTGTGCTCTGAATTGTTTGTGTGAAGGCATGAATTCTGATTCATGATCAATTTTTGATAATCACACAGGAGACTGGCCAAATCCACCTTGTTTCTGATTCCTCTGTTTGGGATGCACTACACTCTGTTTGCCTTCCTGCCAGAAAACACGGGGGAAATAGTCCGGTTTTACATTGAACTCGGTCTGGGCTCTTTCCAGGTACTCATGAATTCATTTCTTTATGTAGAAATGATCTGCTTAATGTCAGTTTACAGATTCCGTAATGAGGAAATGTCTTATTGTATTCCTGAAAGTCTATTTTTTTTCCTCCAGGGCTTTGTGGTGGCACTCCTTTACTGTTTTCTCAATGGAGATGTAAGTATTCTCATAATGGAAACATTCAACATGATATTGACAGTTACAACTACATTTTAACCGTTTTTCCTAAAGAAAATGTGCAAAACTACAAATGCCATGATATTGGATGGATGCAAGGGCATTGCTATGCAATTGTTCTGAGTGTTTTACTATATTTCTTTGTGGTTGCATACTACCCTGGGTCAAATAAAACACTCTTGAGCAAATCTCTCCTATCACCGAAAGTGTTTTTTTCCCCCACCAGGTGAAAATCGAAAGTCTGATCACTTGGAAAAGCAATAAAACACCTCAACAAGCTGCATGATTTGAGGAATTATTCATTGTCCTTATACAAATGGTGTGAAATGAGTTATGCGGAAAAACTACAGTATAATATAAAGTTTTATGGGGTTTTAAAAATCCCTAACCGCAAAGGCTAAATCTGAACTGAAATCTGATTTTAAAACATCACAGAATGCATCATTTTTTGGCAACTTTTTAGTCTAAATGGGTACAAAAACCTGGGCATCATACACTAACACATACGCACGCAGAAACGCGTACCTCATTGTTACGAGATGCGTGACAAATTAAAACAATAACGCGGATCGTCATTCTAAACTCAATTTTTAACCCAGAGCAGCAGAACGGTTTTATACAGAAGCGGGGTCAGCAACACCTTTACCCAAAGATATGAAACCCTGCTCCGGGATTTTGCGGTGCCGAACTTGTATAGCGTGAAAGAATGCAGTGTTGTTAGCTAGATGATGTTATATATTAGATGCTTAGCAACAGAAAGCCAATCGCGTAGCCTACCTCATATTCACCATAGATATGTATAATACATAGATACATATCTATGATATTCACGAGTTTTAAACAGTTAGCTACGGAAACACAGCACGTAGTATAAACAGTATTTTTAGCGTTTGAGCAGAAAAATGTCAGATGATGACAGAAAATACGTATAGAAAAGACTTTAATTCTTACCTTTATAGTTCGAAAAGTCCAATCAGGAAAAACTTAACATGATGAACAATGCTAGAGCTGTTAGCTAAACAGATCACGTGCTGCGTTCATCCAATCATTGACACTGATGCCGCAAATATGCAAATAAGAACGTTAACCCGGAGTTTGGGAGTGTGTGGAACGTCACTTTATAAATATCCAGGATTAGTTTTTAACTCCGGGTCAATTATGAGCAGTTTGAAACATGAAGCATGATAATGCAGGATTTCTTTTACCAATTGAATTTACATTTAGCATGAACTATTTCAAGTGTGTAAAGCCCCTGTGTGTTCTAAAATCAGCTCAAAAACATGTTTGATGTCTTCAGACTAGATGGATTTATAGTCTGAAGCTAAAAAAAAACCGGAGTCTGTGTCAATCATAGCTTACACTACACTATTTCTTGTTAAATTGGTTAACTGACTCCTCCAAACTGTAATTGGGGAAATCTGGACAAAAGGTTGTGTAATCAGGCATAAGAATGAGCAACACTCTAAGACAAATGGTGCAAAACTTTCACTGTGGTGCTTTCAAAATGTACTAATACAGTAAATACACTTTAGGTACTAATATTTAAATAAGGTACAAAGATGCATCTTTTAGCTTTTCTACCTTAGGGATACTGTGCAAGTTTTTCTGAGAGTATCGCAATCAGTATAACCATTTGATATGAATGTATTGTCACTGAAGTGTGTCTCTTTCTCTTTCAGGTACAGGCGGAGTTGAAGCGCAGGTTATGGACGTGGCAGACCCAGACTCATCTGAGCCCCAGTAAAAAGCGTGGGGTCACTGTTACTCGGATCATGATGCATAACTCCACTCAATTAACAGCCTGCCGTCTGCAAGGGCTACATCACATCTGTGTGAACACACCTGGGTGATGCAGGTAGAAAGACTTGCAAAAGACTTCAGGAGCTTCACGTCCGGCTCTGGAGTGTGGAAGACGTTCAAAGAGGAAATGGGTCATTGTACGGCATTATCAAGGTCAAGTTATGGATTTGGCAGATGTCATTTGAGTTCAGTTTGCATGTGCCGATTTGCAGGTTGCAGAACTACAAGCAGATTGTGACACAGCCAGCGTAAGCGAGTGGAGGTTTGATTAAAGTACAGATTTGATTGGGGCCCATGCAGTAGCAAATGCTTCATTAACATTCTGGTTGTATATTAGATTTGTGGTATGCAAAAGATATGAAATATTAAATATTTTTTTACATCCTCATTCCATCCAAGTGCTGAGCTATTTGCCGTAAACTGCAAAGTAACATGATTAATGTTCATCAGTTTGGAGGCTTTTAATTTTAAAGTGATTAATTTGTTATTGCTGATGGTGCTGAGGATGCATCATAAATATACAGGATACAGCTTTGAATTTTCTTATGCCATTGCTTTTTATAGCTACTTTTAACTTAACATTTTTGAACAACTTTGAACATTGATAGAAACTGAATAGTATTGCTTCTCCGCAGCATATAGATGTATTTAAGTGGTACTATGGGATATGAGCTCATTCATCAGTTTGAGTTTCATGGTACAGTATGTACACTGTATGGGGTCACTTTGGGATAGTAAGATTTTTCATGTTTTTGAAGGAAGTTTCTTATTCTCACCAAGGCTGCAATTATTAAATATACAGTGCAGTATAAACCATAAATATTATTACAATTTAAAATAAGCATTTTTATGTGAATATATCTTAAAATGTAATTAATTCCTGTGATGCAAAGCTGAATTTTCAGCATCATTACTCCAGTCTTCAGTGTCAGATGATCCTTCTGAAATCATTCTAATATGCTGATTTGCTGCTCAAGAAACATTTATTATTATCAATGTTGAAAATGTTTCAGGAATCGATGAATAGAAAGTTCAAAAGAACAGCATTTGTTTGAAATGGAAATATTTTGTAACATTATAAATGTCACATTTGATCAATTTAATGCATCCTTGCTGAATTAAAGTATTGATTTCTTTCAAAAAATAATTAAATAAATAATAAAAATCTTACTGACTCTAAACTTTTGAATAGTATGTGTATGTCTGCAGATATTACAGCCGAACACCAATAACAATCAGACTGTAACATTTATGTAAAATGAAATGCAGGATAGCACTGACTTCTTTTTTGTACAAGTTATGTTAGTAACTTAACTTGTAAGTTACAGTTTTAAAAATTGTATTGTACTGTTATACTAATTAAATTATTTTAACTTTGTACCTCTTTTAGAGATGCCGACAGTTCAATTTTATGTCTCTCTTGACACTGTTTAATGTTTCAGGAATCGATGAATAGAAAGTTCAAAAGAACAGCATTTGTTTGAAATGGAAATATTTTGTAACATTATAAATGTCACATTTGATCAATTTAATGCATCCTTGCTGAATTAAAGTATTGATTTCTTTCAAAAAATAATTAAATAAATAATAAAAATATTACTGACTCTAAACTTTTGAATAGTATGTGTATGTCTGCAGATATTACAGCCGAACACCAATAACAATCAGACTGTAAAATGTATGTAGAATGAAATGCAGGATAGCACTGACTTCTTTTTTGTACAAGTTATGTTAGTAACTTAACTTGTAAGTTACAGTTTTAAAAATTGTATTGTACTGTATATCTGTTATACTAATTAAATTATTTTAACTTTGTACCTCTTTTAGAGATGCCGACAGTTCATTTTTATGTCTCTCTTGACACTGTTTTTGTTATTAAATATTTATTACATCAAATTACAGCTATTTTTAATATGTAATAGTAAATCTCTATATCTCTCTCTCACTCAAAGACGACACACACACACACACACACACACACACATGTAGTACGAAAGAACTACATAAAACAGAAATTCAAGAGTTGTTTGTCAAGAATGGAATTCAGACACGTACAAAAATGTTCACAGATCAAATATGGACATCATCTCTACATCAAAGCAGAAGAAACAGCAGGCAGCTTTACAGAGCAGCTGAATGCACGATACAGTTGTTGTCTGGGTGTTACATTCAGGTTGAAATGAGTTAGTCCACAATATGAAGACGTCTCAAAGACACAATGAAACATGTCAGACCTACACAAGAAAAACATCAAATCTCCCACTTATCTCCTCGTTCCTCAAATATACAGCGCTCAAATAGGCTATACACACACACACACACACACACACACACATGTAGTACGAAAGAACTACATAAAGAACTACATAAAACAGAAATTCAAGAGTTGTTTGTCAAGAATGGAATTCAGACACGTACAAAAATGTTCACAGGTCAAACATGGACATCATCTCTACATCAAAGCAGAAGAAACAGCAGGCAGCTTTACAGAGCAGCTGAATGCACGATACAGTTGTCTGGGTGTTACATTCAGGTTGAAATGAGTTAGTCCACAATATGAAGACGTCTCAAAGACACAATAAAACATGTCAGACCTACACAAGAAAAACATCAAATCTCCCACTTATCTCCTCGTTCCTCAAATATACAGCGCTCAAATAGGCTATACAATGAAATAAAAAGCGTTACCTACTGGCAGGCAGATGTGTTACAAGCACAAGAAAACACGTCTGTAACAGCTTTGAGACATGGTCGTTACCTTCTGAGCTCACACTCAGAATGACGGCTGGTGTCAAGAACATAGAAAGCAGCAAAAACGGTCTCTTTTTTGTCTTTTTTCATGCAGATATATCTAGAAAGAGCCACAGAGGGAGCTCGGCCCCTCATATATCCAAACACATATGAAGCTGTAAGGTCACGTGAATCAAGCAACATCTGGCGCTCTCCGTTAGGATTTCACAATTTATTTCTACAGACAAGTTCACTATCACTGAGAGCTTGTTCAAGATCATTAATATTTACAGGTTGGAAAATAAATACGATAAGAAAAATGAGAAAGCTCAAACAAAAAACGGATTTTTTTTGTCAGCAATGGTAAGAATTTAAGTGTTTAATTCCCGCCCCACCGAGCGGATTGGCAAAAATAATGACTCTCCTCATTTGCCATTGGCCAAAAAAACAGATAGTCCCGCTCCAAACTCTCGCCATTGTTTGAGCTAATGTTGCAGTTTGCGATGCTCAAACCAAACAAGCTTTTAGCACCAAATTATTTTATAGTAGTGCTGTCAAACGATTAATCGTGATTAATCGCATACTCAACACTAACTGCGGTTACTGACACCATGCCTTCTTTCTTTGCGTGCACATTTGCGGCGGGATTATGCAAATATTTCCACATAGTGGGGTAGATATGTGGGGGCGTGTTAGAATGAGCCGTTTTAGGGGGGCGTGGCAGAGTCTTAACTTTGATAAAGAATATCTCTTTGGTTTTGAGACTTTAGTCTTTGCAACTTCAGGGATCTTATCTATGCACAATCAGCTTGTAACACTCCAAAGAGAAAGGAAAACTTGAAATCGCATCATATGACCCCTTTAAGTACAGAACCAGTATTTTACATCAGAAATATTTGTTTAAAGAAAAACGCAATCAGTCTCAACTAATTGCGCGAGGGGGCAGGGCTATGTTTAATCCGGCCAATGAAAGATGAGGAGCATTCGAAACCTTCTGTCATTATTTTTGCATTTTCGTTTGCTGATGATGATAGTACCACACAAATTACACACTTCAACTTCAAAATAACAGCCAAATGAAAAAAACGTGTACATTTCCCCCACATTTTTTTTAAAAGATCTGTGCGATCTACACGACCATCACTTTACTGTACAATAATCACCTCAACTCTACCATGTGATTCACCGACAGCTATGAGCTGCAACAAAAGCATATTGCATTTCAAAATTGGCACGTTTATAATCACAGAAGTTTTACATACATCATTGGTACTTTATGACCGTAAGTGTTGACTAAAGAGAGAGCGCTCGTACATCCATAATTTACGCACATGTGCGTCTTTATCGTATACAGAGAATTTACACTCACGGCAGAGAATAATACTGTACTGGAAATAAACAACACTTTTAGCAGAGACTCTTGCCACTTTGCACACTGATGCACGTTATTTTCGCGATCAAACATGTAAAATGTGAGTGATGATAACTAATTATGATTGTCAGTCAGTGGTGATGCAGTAAATTTGGTTGGATTCATAGATTGACATCAGATATTGTACTTGTAAAGGGTTGGGGGTTACCTGTCTCTCAAGTATTAAAAGCGTTCACTCAAAAATTAATCAAAACCTGTCATCATTTACTCACCTTCATGCCATTTCAAAACTGGCATACTTTACTTGTTACCATGCAACATATAGTGATCACCGGCTGTCAAGCTCTAAATATGAACAACAACAACAAAAAGCATCATAAAAGTCATTCATATGATATTTTATGGTACTAAAATTATGCTTTTTGTCATTTTGGAGCTTAACATTCTTTACTTTATCATATTTTTTAAAAATCAGGTTTGGTATGACAAGAAGGTTGGTACATTATGACAGAATCAACATTTTTGGTTAAAATATCTTTTAACACTTTCACATCTCACTCAAATGTCTCATTTCTCTCACAGTTGAACATGTCAGCCCTAAAAGCATTTATAATGCACCTGATAGTAACGTAATGGCATTGTTTTGCGCATCTCAAAGCTCTAGAAATACTGTATGCACTCTAATGCTGTGTATAAATTAATATATTCCTACTATGTAGAAATGAAAGATTGTAAAAGTAAACCTGAACACTGAATCTGTTAATCTACACTACTAAATGACTAATGATTAAATCAATACTGCATGGCACTGGTTGTTTAGAGTAGATCCATCAAAGCTATTTTTGTGACCATCAGGCACTTCAGAATAAATCAGAGGGAATTGTGGAATAGCCTCCTCGCTCCGGTAATTGTTTACGGAACTGTTTTTTTGACAATCCTTGATTTGCTGATATTGGCTCTGTGTAGTTACAAACCATTCGCATTACAATAAGATAACACTGGCTAAAAGCTAAATCACAAAACCATAACAACATTTACATATAATCTAAATTCATGAGTCATTCATAAGTCTTTATATTGTTGACATACTCTGTACTTACGGCTGATTGTAAAAAAAATATGTTTTACAATCTCTCTGTGGAGAACATTTAATCAAATACACAGCATTTAAACGAGCAACACAAAGTCTGTACATTTTCTTTTATAGTGTACTTCTGATAAACACAGTAGCTTGCAGATAAAACAATACTGAAATATTCATGTTTTGGCACTTAACTTTAACACTGAAATGTAACCCGTCTCTCTCTCTGATATCTAGGGAGCCCCGCACATGACATGCAAGAAAAAATAAATAAATCGTGCGCACGATTTACTAATTCGTTCCCTTGATGTACTAAAACGTGCCCACGATTACTATTTCGTTCCCTCGATTGGGCAGGTTGAGGTTGACCGTCTCGGCCAGAGGGCTGGACATGCGTATCTGTGAGCTGCTCTTGCTGAGGATGGACAGCTGCGTCCCCCCGTTCACCCCACTGCTCGCTAGCGAAGGGTGACGCTGCTGCTTCAGGTCCACAGCAAAGTACCTGTTCACCGTCCAACTCCTCCATTTCCTCTTTATCTCCGACTGCACCTTTAGGGAGAAACTTGAAAAGGTCATTTTTTAATGTACTCAGCTGTAAAGGTGCACGCGTTCTCCACCAGTCCACGCTCTACACCATGTCCAAGCCAGACGTGACACGTTTGTGGACACAGAAAGCAAAATAATGCACAATATAATAGCCAATCAGAACTATATTTGATGTTTTATGTTTGGACCAATGAGATTTCATTGTGGGCGGGGCTACCTCATTTTTGTGTGAATTTTTGCTGTAACATGGAAGAAACTGATTGTTTGTCACTTAATCACATCACACCTGGTCAGGACATGGTAGTGTTTTGGCAGTAACTAAAAATGTAGCAAAAAATGTAGATTTTTTTAATGTAGCACATTGGATAAATTATTGTGGAAACGTAATGTTTTCTGAGCAAACCCAAACATATATGAAATTAATATCACAGCTGATTGCATGCTTTTGAGAATATCAAAACAAAAGCTCTTACCTCTCCATTCAGAAAGCAGTACAACACGGCAACCACAAACCCCTGTGGAGAGTTAAAGTGAGTATGTGGTGAAGTGGATATCATTTTAAAGTAGTTTACATTTCAAAAGTTTAGTAGAAATCAATACCGTTACTCAGCAAAGATGCATTCATTAAAAGACAGCAAAGACATTTATAATGATACAATTGATTTCTTTATATTCCTCAAAGAATCCTAAAAATGTATAATGGTTTCCACAAAAATAAGTAGCACAACTGTTTTCAACATTGATAATAATAAGAATTTTTCATAAACAGCCAATTCTGAAGGATCATGTGACACTGAAGACTGGAGTAAAGGCTGCTGAAAATTCAGCTTTGCATCACAGGAATAAGTTGAATTGTAAAATATATTCAAATATGAACCAGCTATTTTAAACTGCAATAATATTTCGCAATATTCCTGTTTTTACTGTATTTTTTATCAAATAAATGCAGCCTTGGTGAGCACATCTATTCATTTAATCAAGCTCCAAAACCTAGTGAACTGCAAAACCATGTCCCAATACTGTGTCAACATGAAGCAATTTTTTGTATGAATATTTTATAGGTGTTTTACCTGTATTTTGATATACTTATTGCATAGTGTTTTATGTTTGAAAGTAAATTTGACAGAAAATGTAATGGTGATTTTTTTTTCTTACAGTGTGCCTTGCTGTCTACATTGGCTACCATCTAAGGCAGCATAGTACTAAAAATATAACACTGTAAGTAAAAATTGAATGAATTGAAACACTCTACATAGGTAGCAATTCACAAAAGTAGAGTGAAAACTAGAGTTGACTGCAAGTTGCAACAGAGCCTAACATAAGTATGCTGTTAAGCTAATGGCTTCAAAAAAAAAATGTCATACTCATACTGATACTAATACTGGTTGTATATTTTAATACAAAACTGGACACTGGATCTTAAGTACTGAATAAATATGCTTTCTTTTGATTCTATCTGCCATTTTGAAATCAACTTTTCACTAGGATTTTTGCAATGCATTCTGAAGTTGTCTAATCCACAAAAGCTTATATTCTGGCAGCATTTAATATTGATGCCCTATGTTTGGAACAGCCCTTGTGTTGGGATCGCACCTACTGTATGATGCCATTTCTGGCAGCTCACTGGTTTGGAACAGAGAAATAGTGTCCACGGAGGTGTTTCTAAAATACAGCGCTAAAGTTGCTACTATAAAAGCTGACGCTCAGTACCTGGAAGGAGCCCAGGCCCAGCTCAAAGACCAGTCGCTCCCGCTTGCTGAAATCCTCCGGGGAGAAGGCAAAAACAGTGTAGTGGATTCCAAACAGAGGGATGAGGAGCAGGGTGGAGCGCGCCAGACGCCTGTCAACACACAGCACACACACACGGCGCTTCAGATGGCTGATTAAGTCTCTCAACATGTCAACACACAGTTACTGTAATACACAGGAGATCAGAGCCCTCCACAACAAATCCTGTTCCACAGGAAAGAAGGTCTCTTTAATATCTCTATTGTTTTTCCTAGCCAGCAGAAGAGCAAATGGAGACCTTCTCAGATGTTTCTCCTGACCAAAAGATCTCAATAATCTCACGTGTCTCTTCTCTAGACTTTCAGAAGAGATTTCAACAATGTTTGGCTGTGCATTACTGAAATAACAAAATCTGCAATTAAAGTCTAGCCTAAGATATGAGATAATAGTCAGAAATATATATTTTTTATGGAACAGTTTATTGAAACTTAGACATATTAAATATTAAAAAATATTGGGTTAACAACCAAAACTACTTGGATGATTAACTTGGTATAGTTGAAATATGTGGGTTAGTTCACCCTGTTTTAGTTCCAAAATCTGGTTCCATAAAAATGTTAAAATCTGGTTCCAAAAAATTCCAAAATCTTTCCAAAAAAATTATTTTGTGGATGAATAACACTGTTAAAATTCAGTTTTCATTTTTTTAAATTAGTTTTTTAAAGATTTTTATAAAATATTCTAATAAATATTATGTTCATAAATGTTAACATAAATATTATGTTAAGTTTTTGTGAAATAAAAAATAAAATAAAATTAAATCAAATAAAATTAAAATTAAATCTTTGAAAACCTATATCAATCAGCCACTACTACCCAAGACCAAGACCGACTGCTCAGCCACCTAAACCAGACTGGACCAGTCTGAACCACCAGTTCCAAAACAAAGAGGCAACTTTAAGCTAGATTTTCCAGCAAGTAAAACTTGAAAGTTCTATAGCTAAAACAGTAGAATTTGGTGCTAACAACAACAGGGGCATGGGTTCGATTCCCAGAGAATGCAACTGATAGAAATACATTTAAATATGAGTGCAAAGTACTGTAAATCGCTTTGGATAAAAATGTCTACCAAATGTGTGCATGTAATAAAACTACAGACAAGACCACAAAAACTATCTGCAGTGAATATTCACACAGCCTTTCTTTCTCAATGGACAGTTAAAAACGAAAAATGCACATTTGTTGGCAGACGCAGATGCACAAGCACATTCACACAAACACACACACTTACAGCGTGATGGTAGAAAGCTCTGACATCCTGCACGAATGCTGGGCAGCCTGTGTGGGCTCACGGAAGCATTTCTGTGCACAGCTGCTAAACACGACAAAGACAACAAACACTCTTTAGGACAGAACACACACACACACACACACACACACCAGGCACGCACCAGTATTTAGCACTAGTTAGTTCTCACTGC